TGTGAGCTTTCTTTTAGTGTGTGCTCTATTTTCTTCTTCTTGGGATCATTAGAGTTATCTTGGATACTCTTCTTATTCAACAGAAACCTCAGGGCATCTTTGAATGCGAGGACACATATGGAGAAAGAAAGCAAATGTAGCACCATATATAATGTGTTGATCAAAGGATATAGCGTAGATTAGAGTAGTTGGGCATAACTTTCTTGCTTGTATCTTGTGTTTTGAAAAGGAAAAGCAACCCCTCCAAGAAAATGATAGACAAAAAGAAAAATGTAAGTTTTATGATACTTGTATGTTTATTACTTTGATCTTTAAAATTGAGTGTCATTCAGTCTCATATCTGAAGTTGATTATCTCACATCAATATCTTCATTTCATTTGAATTCCGTTCATAACTCTGTTAGTTTACCAACGTGGCATAAAAATCAATCTAAGTTCTAACCGTAAGGTGTCATGTGAACTAACCGTGAAAAACCAAATTTTTAAATATCAGGCTTACAACAAAACGCAGCGTTTAGTCCAGTCACTCAAATCGAATCCCATGCAAGAAGCCCATGCATAATTGAAGTTAGGGAAATCTGGAGTCTGACTTTTCATTCACACGGTAAGAGATTCTTCCCTGTTATTGGAAGCTTCTTCAATTCAGAGCTTTTCTAATTCCACCTCCATTCACCATACAAATCCAAGTTAGGGTTTTTATTTTCTCCCCAAAAATCCAATGGATTTCCAGAAGAAGAGAATCCAATTACTGCTCTTCATTGTTGGCATCATCGTCCTCAGTATCACAGGTTTACAGAGATATATGTGTGTATATTACATATATATATACACACGTATATATTGTCAATTTGTTTTTTCTTACTGGGAAAAACTGATGGAAATAATTTTAAAAATTGAAGTATTTTTTTCCCCATTTTCTGGGAATTTAAATTTTTTTACGTCGATAGGTAAAGATCTGCCCTTTTTGCTGTTTTATTTGCTCTTGAATCCTCGCATTTGGTTGCAAATTAACAAAATGCAATGTGTGTAAATTAAAACCCCAAAACGCTAAGAACCCAGATGTGTAATTAGGATTTTGTTATAGGAATTAGGATCTCTGTGGTGATGTGATTATGCGTTTTGCGTATGAAAGTTAACAACAAGAAGTAACAGATAGCAATCACAAATGACCATAGTTGTATGGTTTACAATGTCCCATCGTATTCCCAATCCTTCGGTTGATTCCTTAATATTTCTTTTGGTATGAATCTGAAGGAGGGGTGAGTTTGATTTGTGCTAATAGACCTGAGCTGATAGCTTAAAAGGTTTCGGATTTAAGGGGCATCATTTAAACAATGCTCGGAGAAAACCTAGTGGGAGAACCCCGACCGAAGTAAAAAGAGTACCACACCCACATTACACATGAGTATAGCACATCAGAAACAAAGATGAATCACTGTTTTGATGTTAATGTTCTGTGGCTGTTTAATGTGCTGATTGAATGGGGATGTAAATAAGATGTTTTATGTTCGTAATATTGTACATATGTGCTTGTTTAGACTAGAGTCTCGATTTTGTGCTCGTGTTAGGTGTTTTGAAGCATTTTGCGATTTACCTATATATATATGTGTGTGTGTGTGTGTGTGTGTGTGTGTGTGTGTAATGCAATATTCGGTTCTTAGTAATTTAGTATTTGACAATGTGTGTCAAATACTTATTTGGATTATTTTCCTTGTAGCTGAAAAATGTCGGCAACTGGTTGGGGAAGAGAGTTCATCTCAGAGTGGGAAGTTTACATTCTTGAACTGCTTTGACATGAGTTCCGGAACACTAGCTTGTTCTGTCAAAGAGGGAGTGAAGCTCTATGTTAACAACATCAGAGCTTCTCATGTTGAGACGATGAGGCATAAAGCAATTGAAGGTGCATTGGCTGATGCATTGTCCCAGGGGATATCGGCTAAAGATGCAGCCAAACAAGCACAGACAGCAGGAGCAAAGGCAGCGAAACTGGCAACACGGCAAGCAAAGCGGATAATAGGTCCTATCATCTCTTCTGGATGGGACTTCTCTGAAGCTATTTACTACGGTGGTGCAATAACAGAAGGGAGTGTCAGGGGCACCGGAACCATGTTTGGCACCTATGCTGGAGGCTTTCTAGGAGAGCAACGGCTTGGGAGATTTGGTTACCTTGTGGGAAGTCAATTGGGCAGTTGGGTCGGAGGTAGAATTGGATTGATGGTCTATGATGTGATTAACGCGGCGAATTACATACTCCAATTTGGTATACCCGAACAAAGTTCAGCTGAAGCTCGTGAAACTTCCGCCTATGAGAACTCCGAAACACATGAACATTCTGAACTGAGGTGAATGAAATGAAATATGTTCGTTCCTTTGCTTCTTTTCGCTCAATGTTATTTTGTAGATGCCAATATAAGAAAATAGATCAGTTACTCATTCTAATATGCGTATACTTTTACAGATGGTATTTCCATAGAATTGCATGCTTCGTTCTTACGCTGAATTTTTTTTTTTTTTTTTTTTTTTTTTCTCTCAAATGTATCTGGAAACGCCATTTTCCTATCGTTTTCTTATATTTTATCCTTCGTTACGTATATTCAGAAAAATAGGGGAGGGGGGTAGTAAGTTTGTAAGCCTGTCGGCCCCATCTCATGGATGTCTCTGAATATTTTGAAGAAGAGACTCTCATTCGGCAAGTTGGCAACCCAACCCTTGGGCCTTTGAACATAATTTACTGTCCAAAAATTGGATCTATAACACACCTTCCCCAATAACACTGTTGGACTGAGATGGGCTAATATTCCTAGATTTGGGCAGCACTCAAACAAAGGCGTGAAGGTAGCGGTATCATAAACCTATTATGTGTTGTCATGTGAGAGGTTTGGGACACTATAACCTTAACGTGTCTCTTTCATGGTGATTGGATCTATAAGAGCAACTCCACCATTGCTAAGGCCCTCAAGGCTATTAACTATTTAATCCACCCAATGAACAGTAATTGCCCTTTATAAACAATAATTGTCTTTTGCATCTCCACTTCTACACGGAATAGCCTTGGCAATAGACAATAAAATAATAGTATTTTATTTATTTATAAAATAATACAAAATAATTTTATAAGTAATTTTGGATAAGATTTTTAATCGTTCTCGTTGTGTCACGTGTCATTATCCGAAAAGACAATTATTGGTGATGGATTTCGATAAGATTTTTATCCAATGCCGTTGTGCCACATGTCGTTACATTTTCAGAATTGTTGAGGATAGATTTCCGATAAGATTTTTAACCAATCACGTCGCGCCGCGTGTCACAATCTGTTTACAATATTTGAGGATAGATTTCGATCAAATTTTTAACGAATGACAGCATGTCACGTGGCATTATCTACAACCTAATCTTTTCGAGCACTTCTTCTGCGTCATCTTCATGAACATGCGAGGCATGATCGGGAGTAGAGTGTAAAAGGGTGTTGTTCATGAAAACTTCTGGACCGACAAGCACAACTCTAAATTTAGGACAATCTTTGACAATATTCCAACATTCCCACCGGGTGAATGATTGCTTTTGGTTTTTGGATTTGGCATTATACCAAGCTTGTGCTTAAAATGTCTACACAATGGAAGAGAAGAAATAATTATAATCAAAGTAGCTAATGTAAATTTGGGTATAGTACAAACAAATAAATAATATATTATTAACTGATCCGCTAATTTTCCCCACTTCGAAGATTACTACTAGTTTGTGCTAAGGCGTCTCTTCACATACTAAACGATTGGCTAAGTATTCTCCAACGACTAGACATCGATTTTTTGGTTCTTTTCCCACCAATTTTCTCAAGATAATTGGCATGAATAAGGCTCCACATTTCTCACAACTGCATCTCATTATCTGTAATCAAATCATGAGTAACTTCAACCCAGCTAGTACACAATGTAACATCTTCAACAAGCAACCAATTCGTACATGCATCATTAGTCATTTTGTTGGAAAAAAATTGGATTGAAACTTTAAGAGAAAGATAAGAATGTGGTTGAAACTAGTTGACAAAATGTGAAATTGTGGTGTAAGGTAGAAGAAAGCGAGAAGGTATTTATAGAAAAGTAAAAAAAAAAAATTATTTTTTGGATTTTTATTAATTTTTTATTCACATAATTAATCTCTACCGTTGGATTTAAAAAAATTTGAATTCCAACACTCCAAATTGTGCCGCGTGGCACAACGATAAGATTTCATAATTTTAAACTTTTTTCCTTTTTTTTTTTATTTTTAAATTTATAAAGCCGAATAACGTGAACCGTTGATCTTAAATCCAACGGCTAAAATTAATGATAGTTGGAATTATTATTTTTACCGTTGAAATCCAACGGACGAGGAACTGTCGTGTGGCCTCCAACGGTAACATTGAGCAAGCCTACGCCACGGGCCCCAACGCCTGAAACTGGTCGGGGATGCGCCCCCTCCACGCTTGTAATGCACACGCCTGACTAAAAAAATATTAAAACCGAGCTAATGTCGCCCTGACGCCAGCGTTGCATCATACCCACCTCGGGCTCTCGGGCCAGCGATTCTCGCCGAGCCTCTTGCTTGGGCCCACTCCTGCGCAATCGCCCGAATGGGCTAGACGTGGTTGCTCAGGCTATTGCCCTTTGTTTTGGGGCTTGTCGCTAGGGCTACTCCACACAGTGGAGTTGCTCTAACACACCTTCCCCACCAACATTGTTGGACTGAGATGGGCCCTAATATTCTTAAATTTGTGTCTGTTTCATTTTAATTGGATCTATAAATCACCCTCCTCGATAACATTGTTGGACTAAGATGGGCTAGTGTTCTTAGATTTGGGTAGCACTAAAACGGGGACGCTAAGGTAACAGTATTCTAAACCTATTATGCATCATCACGTGGGAGGTTTGGGGCAATGTAAACTTAACGTGTTTGTTTCATATAAGTTGTTCTTGCTCATCACAAGTCAGAGATTGCAAATACGAATCGACTATAGATGCTAAAGCTTAGGGATGAGTTAGGATTATCAAAATCTTGTGTTCCGATTTATCTATTTATATTCATGTCGTGTTCTAAGTTAGGTAACTTGTCACGTCCGAAGTTTCCACTTATGGGGATGACTGATGAGTCCTATCAAGTTATGAATAAGGGGACGAATGATATCACCATGAAATGAGAATTGAAAGCAAATTTTGAATTTGTGAGGGCCCAAGTTGCGGCATAAGTGTGGGTCAAAACCTAATAGGCCCATCATTCTCAGGGCCAGAGTATGGCACATGGAGTCGTGTAGGTAAACACACACTTGTTGCTCAAATGGCCACTGTTCACTTCACCTTTGCCAACCAATATGCTTATGCCCTTTGCTTTAATTTGATTCTTTTTATTTAAAATTCATAAATTGTGAGAAAAAAAAATAGGAAGCACTATGATTAATTAGAGTTTGATAGCATGGGCAGCAGTTACTACACACAATTTATGATTGTAGAATATCAAATTAGGAGTGTGAATAGCATTTCTCTTGAAAAAACAAACAAAAATTAACACAAACAATCGAAGATCCTACTAAACAAAGACAAACAATATTAAATCCTAACACACAAATCATATATCTCAGAATTAATCCAAGACATCGACTTAGCACATTTGAAAATTATTGTCAAGGCTTTTTACCAAATGCCCATAAAAATTTTACCATCTAGGAGTGAATTTTGGAAGTTATGTAGACCAGATTAAAAAAAAAAAGGTAATTAATTCAAGTTAATTAACCACATTCAAACTTATGATTAATTCATAAAGCTTGATAGTCTCAGGTTAATGCAGATGTGATTTTAGGATATGCTAGGGTAATCACATTTTGGAAGACTACATAGGTCCCATCGTAAGTTATAGATAAAGAGATCACGAACGGTAACCATTAGATAAAGTTCTAAAATATTGGAGCAAAAGAAAATAAAACGGAAAAGTACAAAAATAACCAAAATATTTAAATATGTTTTTGACTCACTAAACGATCTCAACTCCCTAAATCCATCTGAGGTTGTAGAAAAACAATGAGTTTGACTCGTCTCGTCATTTATTTTCTAAAAAGGTATTTTGAATTGGAAATGGACTTTGGAAACTTCTAACACACTATTTGCGCTGCAATTCGCAAATCTAAAATTGCTTTTCCAGTCTCGAGTCACCACATAAAATCATATCTCTAATAGAGGTTTGACCTACTTCTATTGTGATTTACAAAATGTGATCACCCTACTTAATATTTTATGTGATTTTATATATATATGAAAAGAAAAATATAAAACTTTCTAAATGTTGAACCCACTATTTCTAACTGGTAGTGCTATTTACACATCCACTTTTACTTCTCTCATACCTATTGTTAATTTATATCATTTGATTTTCTTCAATTCATTCTATTCGACGGTTGAAAATTAAAAGAGGCGTGTGAGAAATAAAAAGATGTGTGTGTATAGCACAACCCTCTCTGAAAAGAGATCCCAAACTTTAGTGTCGAGTAGTCGCGGTACTGCTATTGTCGGGAGAAGTGGCCAAATTGGCCAAAATGGAAAGACTTCTTTCTATCCATACACGCATGTTTCATCTTTTTCTTCCGACCAAAAGGGACATAAAAACATTATCAAAACCCATATAACCCTATCAGTTGTCTACATCTATGCCTTACTACCTCCCTCAGTGGATTCTCTTTAAATGACAAAAATATAAGACAGGCAAACTATTTTTTTTTATTTTTATATATATAAAAGGAATAATTTCTGGGCTGCCATTGATTGAAGGTCTAAGTAATGAGATTAGGGTTTGATTAAATTTTTGTAGTATAGAGTGCCACGAGTTATGCATGCTTCGATGGTACAAGTAAATCTTTGATGTATTAATCTCGATTGAGGATGAAAAAACAGGTCAAGCTAATTTTATCGGAAGAAGTCACCCATGCAAACCCTGGATTATATATTTGCATGAAAGAGACTTTTTTTAATAAAAGTTAGAGAGAGGGAAGGTTACACCATCTCAAGGTGCATACCACAAACCTCTCTCACGATCTATAGAAAGAGTCTTAGTCCCCTTTTTAGTTTTTATAGATCACACATCAAGAGGGATTGCTAACAACTAAACTCAAACTTAGCTTTTGATCTAGCGAAGAGAATAATCTTTATCAATTCAACCAACCCTCTTTGACTGCATGAAAGCAACTTTCATACACTTCCAAATTGTCTTTGCTTATAAGAATCTGTATACCTTTGGAGGTTAAAAAATGAGGTCAAACAAAGAGAAATTTCCTAAGCATAAAGCAATCTTGTTTGAAAGCTTGCACTACCTAAAAGAATGATTGTATCGTACCCTTAAAAAAAAAAATGGAGAAAAACCATTGAAGTAGAAGGAGAAAGTAAAGCTGAAAAAAAAAGGTTTAAATAATTATAACAATATCGTGCATTCGAAATAGCAAAGGGGCTTTTACCGAAGAGACTTGTCGACGTGAGAATATGA